ATATTCTTTTATTCTTTGAACTTTTCTTGTTTATCAGTTGTGTAAATATCACTTTTGCACTTGATCAGCGTGTCCGTTTAGTGTCATGTGTTGTATATCACACATAGTTCTTTATGGCATAGCTGCTGTGGGTGTCCGTCTTGGATAAAGTGTATCTCGGTGAGTAGTTGTGCCGCTCTGGTGGGCAGCTGGTGCAGAGAACCGCCCCACCGACGAACAGAAAGCCCGCAGTGACCCAGCCCACATACAGCGCCGCCCCCATCTCCCTCTTCAGCGCTTCATGCACGATGGGATTGTGAAAGTCTCTGATGATGGAGTCGGCCGTCCAGGACACGGGCACCACAGCGGTCAGTCCAGAAAGCATGAAGGTGACCCCAGAGACCACCACGATCCGTGCTTTGGCTCGTGGGTTACTGAGGCAGTTCGTGCAGTCAGCCCCAACCAGAAAGATGAGGAAAGCCAAGCAGGCCAGAGCCATGGTGGTCACGACCAGCCCGCGCGCCGCCTGCAGGGAAGGATCCAAATCCAGCAGCGCGTCGTAGAGTTTACACTGCATCTGACCGATGCGCTCGTACACACACGTCATCCACAGGCCCTCCCAGAAGACCTGAGCCACCACAATGTTCGTGCCGATGAAGGCCGTCACCTTCCACATGGGCAGAGCGCAGATGATGATGGTTCCTGCAAAGCCCATCATTGAAAGAGTGATTCCCAAGACCTGCAGAGCCATGGAGGGGCTGGGGAGGACAGAAAACAACCATTAGGAAATAGTTGTTTTATTTCTGAGCAACAGTGCTTTTAATAATGAAATAGATGTGATTTAGTCGCAGCAGATTTAGTTGTTGATATATTGCTGTATATTGAAAAATATAAGCACTAGTTTCCAATATATGGAAATGTATTATGTAATATATCGCATTATATTTTGCAGTGTGTTCCCATATATTTTTGTTCTGTAAAGGCTAGCATATGAATGGCTTTCTCTCGATAGGGGGCAGTATATCAAACTACGGGTGACGTTTAACTGGAATTTGTTCAACTGAGACATTTGTGTTTGGAGCGTGAATGAAACCGATACTGACTGAGGAGCAGTTACTCAACAGAGAGCTGGAGAGGTGCCTGTCATGCTTTTATTTCTGTCTTTGACATCATTTGTTTACATCTCTGAGAATGCACTGCATGTGCTCCGACATAAAAGAATTCGCATGTGCTTTGCTTAAAAGAACACATGACATTTCCTTGAAGTGGTTATCTGAAATAACTCTGTGACTCGAGACTGTTGAGGATAAAATTTGAACAAATGATGCTTTCATTGTAAGCAAGGCCAGGTTGTTTGTGTGTTGAAGCCTGAGAACTGTGTAATATGAGCCTGTGAGGAAGGCTAGGTGGGAGAACTGGGTTTCAGTTTGTTTATATTAATTATGAATTCAAATGAGTCAGACAGAGAAAGAAGCACTTGTGTCACATTACCCATTCATGCTTATAACTCTTTGTACAGAAAGAAGAAGAAACACGCAATACAGGTGAAATACACGTCATGGTGTCATCAGAATAATAAAAATAAAAACAAATATCAATAAAATGAAGTGAAATAAAATAGAAACACCAACAACGATTTAGGAAGCATGTTTCATTCATATAAAACTTACATAAAATGTCTTAAAACGGCCCATCAGCAAAACATTCCACAGCAGCTACTTATGTATGGCCCATCACTGAGCAGCATACGCTTATTTTTTGGCAGTAAATTCAATCTCACAAAAACAAAACCAGCCATATGCTAGGAAACACCCATACAGGATAAAAAATGAAAATAAATAAATGAACGAATCAGTGAATGTATGTATTAAAATATACAAAATATGGCCTAGAAATGTGTTTGCTAAAAATGTGTTTCCATAAATATATTTTCTATCAACATATACGTTTGTTTGTTTTTTGTTGATGCCATTTTTGTGTATTTTTGAATATATATGAATATATTTTTTAAATGCATTTCAAAATATATTTTGGTCTCCATATTTTCAATACAAGAAAATGCATTCACATTTCACATTTAAAGAAAATTTTTATTTGGTGTCTATAACATATTGTGAACATATATTTGATCCATTTTATTTAAAAAAAAATTATAATGAATCATAAATCTAGCTTAGCTCTGTTCCGTCCACATTTGCATTTAGACTAAAGATTGGAAATGTAGACATATATTTTGGTATAAGAAGGTTGAAACTAAATATATTTTTAGCATAATAAATATATTTCATTTAACTTCTTTGTTCACACCATATATTTAAAATATATTTTGGCCAGAAAAAAAAATTGCGCAGTATGGGCATATTTAATTCATATAAACCTACACATCATTACTGAAAAACAAGTGCTTTTGCGCAAGCATTTACAAAAGACAATTCAAAGAGCTAAAAGTGCACCAAATATTTCACCTACAATATTTTGTCATTTCAAAACACACCACAAAATTATCTTTAAAGTAATGTCTGGTGGTCTAGATGCAGGTCTTGGGAGGAGTTGGAGAGCGTGATACTGGCGCTGTGTGGTTCAGAAGAGCGTCAGCCCCTCTGGACGGCTTTGACATCTTTACAGGATTGTATATGACAAACGTTGAGCAGTTCTCTTTTGGTGGGCAAGAACTGCAAAGCAGCCCCCCTCCCAGCACCAGAAGCAGCCCTGCGGCGGCACAGAGAAGCCCCCAGCTCCCTGCGCTGAGCATCCAGCAACAGGGGGTTATAGAAGTCGTTCACTATAATAACAGCAGTCCAGGACACAGTGATAAGACACAGAACTCCAGAGACCATCAGAAGCACGCCAGCAACAATGGATGCTTTCACTTTTCCTCGTTCCTCAGCTATGAAGTTGGTGCATTTCCCTGAGACGAGTGCCACGAGAGTCCCAGTGATGCCCACGGATGGAAAACACCAGCAGGACACGAGCAGCCTTCAGATCGGGGCTCAGCGCCAGCATGGAGTCGTAGACCTTACACTGCATCTGTCCGGTGCTCTCCACCACACAGCTCATCCAGATCCCCTCCCAGAGGAGGTCACAATGTTGGTGCCAATGAAGGCTGTTACTCTCCACATGGGTAGGGCGCACACAATTATCACTCCAATCCAGCCGAACAGGGCCAGGATGCAACCCATGTAACTACATGCCCATAGACGCCATCTGAATAGCCGTCCTTTTAAAAAAACTAAACCTGTATGAAGGAGGTAAACGTGCTGGATTCAGAAAAATACATGCTAGTGCAAATGGGAATCTGCACAAACTGAGGCAAAGCAGCTTTGTGAGATTCTATGCGTTTGTGATATTTAAATATATGAGAGATCAGTTTACGGTCCTTTGTCAATTCCTAAAGGGAGCAAACTTGTTTAGAAGCATACTGAAAGCTTTCTACAGGTTGAATTCCGTGTTTCTATATTTATCCAGGTCCACATGAAGACAGAAATGTCTTGCAAAAGTATGTGACCCACATCCTGTTGTTAATATTCAGACAAATGCCTTTGCTGGTATCACCGCTGGCATCTTGTCTAACCGGTTTGGGAGGACCTGTGAAACCAAAGTTTCAGCAAAACATCTTCACAGTGTTTTGGTTGGAATAGAGATTCTGTGTGTTTTTTTATTCCGTCTAAATGTTAAAATTGTTCAAGCATCCTGCATTTATGAAATATTTAAATTCTGTGCTAACCTTTGTTTGTTTTTTCTTGAAAATGTGCTAATTTGCTGTAATGCATGCACATGAATCTCAGGGATGGATTTGATGTTGGCATGCCCTCAGCATAGATATTTCAAAAAGGCCCATCAGCAACACATTCAACTGTTTATACCTGTATGACCCATCATAGAGTATTGCCACAGACACATAATCTACTTCTGACCAAATTCTGATTAATAACATAGTATTCTTCTACATGCACTGTAAACACGGCCATTGCCTTTTCCAGAAATTCTGAAAGAAGGTGTGGTTGAGACTTTAAAAAAATCTGTTTCTCCTTCCTCCTCTTTTCAGCCTCTTCATAGATCTACACTCTTAAAAATAAAGGTGCTTCACGATGCCATAGAAGAACCTTTTTGTCTAAATGGTTCCATAAAGAACCTTTAACATCTGAAGAACCTTTCTGTTTCACAAAAGCTTCTTTGTGGCGAAAGAAGGTTCTTCAGATTATAGAAAGGTAAGAAAGAGATGGTTCTTTAAAGAACCTTTGACCGAATGGTTCTTTGTGGAACCAAAAATGGTTCTTCTATGGCATCGCTTGAAGAACCTTTTAAGCACCTTTATTTTTAAGAGTGTAGTGAATTTACAATCATTTTATTTATGTTGAATTATCCTTTTTTTGTAAAGCTTGCTGGCTAAAAATCATTTTAATCCACCACTGGCTGGTCTTTCACCACTGAGCAGCATCATTTTAATTTTTGGCAGTTGTTTCAAAAAAGTTATAGACATCTCTGTGAAGAACCTTTTAAGCACCTTTATTTTTAAGAGTGTAGTGAATTTACACTCATTTTATTTATGTTGAATTATCCTTTTTTTTTAAAGCTTGCTGGCTAAAAATCATTTTAATCCACCACTGGCTGGTCTTTCACCACTGAGCAGCATCATTTTAATTTTTGGCAGTTGTTTCAAAAAAGTTATAGAGTATCTGTTCACCCATTTGAAAAAAAAAAGCACTGTCAATGAGCAAATATTACTGAAGAAACAATTGTTTTTGCCTAGTAGCTCTAATTTTCACTAAATTTCTTTGAATGAAGTGGAGACAGACTAAACATGTCTGATAGTTGTCTATTAATAGTTTTTTTTTTTTTACAGCAAAATAGAGATTTTTTTAACAGCATTGCTAAAAACCGGGTTTACAGGAGATCTCCTCCAACATCTCTGTCGCTGTTTTCAACAGTTTCAGCACGATCTGTAATGTTTTCTTTGATGTGAGAATATTCAGTACTGTCAAACTATTATTATGAAATGAAGTCAATGCAGTATTAATAAATTGTTTTACAGAAGCATTTATTTTAATAAACAAACGGTAAGACAAATGTACCGATTAAGGCATCTTTGTGCAAAAATGCTAATTTATGTTTAGAAAAAATGTAGAAGGTTAATGCACATTTTATAAAACCATGGCCTTTGTAATTTATTAACAGTCAGATACCTACAATGATTAATGGAACTATTCATATTGTCATATTAAACATAAATTACAAGAACAGCTTGTTTCTAAAAAAAAACAAAAAACACAGTTAACATTTCAGATCTCCGTCGCTTCCCTGAGTTTGATTCCTCTCATCATAAATGCACACTTTCTCTTTCAGTGATCTGTGGAAACACAGCACAAAATCTCAGTAAATAAACTATGCCATATCAGACACTGGCCTTCCTTCGTTTCTCATTGGGGAAAAAATCCAGAGATGGGAATAAAGAGGTTTTACGAAAAAAGGGTCTTTGTAAGTAAAAAGTCTTTGCATGCTTGATTACTGTCAGACGTAGGCTCTGCTGTTGGCAGTGGACCGTGGCTGAGAGTACTTGATGTTGTAGTTGTCCTCTTTAGGCGGGCAGGAGGTGCACCGAACACCTGTTAGTTGACCAGCAGACGGGGACCAGGACCAACACTCCGGCGATGATGAAGATCACACCACTGGCGATAGCCACCTTTGTCTTGCTGTCTTCCCTCTCAACAAAGTTTGTGCATTTTCCACCGGCAATCCCCAGGACGAGCCCAAAGATGCAGATAATGATGGCGATGATCACAAGCGCCCGAGCAGCCTGCAAGTCCTGAGGTAAAGCCAAGAGCGAGTCGTAGATTTTGCACTGCATCTGCCCTGTGCTCTGGACCACACAGTTCATCCACAAGCCCTCCCAGATGATCTGTGCTGTCACGATGTTGGCTCCAATGAACGCAGACATCTTCCACATGGGAAGGGCGCAAATAATAATCGCTCCCAAGAAACCAATAATGGCCAGGGACAGGCCTAGGATCTGTCGACACATAGACACCATTTTTCTCTTGTTTGCTCAGCTTCGTTGGCTTGGAAGTGTTTGCTCCTCTGTTAATCGTAGTAATGACTTCTGATCCTAGCTTTCAGAGTTTTAAGATTGTCTCAGAAGGGAGGAGTCCATGTCGGATGGACCTGAAACCGGGTTAAGGTGAATTTTCAAGCCTGACCAGATTCCCCAGCAAGGAATGACGATACAGCGGCTGGTTTCGGTGAGATGCGCATCAACGAGGAACAATAAAGTGTCACACAAACACAAAGGAACCAAGTCATCAACCAAAAGGATTGGGCAGATATCACACACAAATTTGTTGAGACTCAAAGTAAAAAAATTGAAGCAAAAAATAAAGCTGAACGATATTATCATATTTTCATTTTTAGTCATTTTTATTTTGTGTTTTTATATTTAATCTTTTTTGTCTATTTGACAGCTATAGGCAATAAAGGTTTAATGCTCAATTTTCAGCTAATGAAGGATAAATATATAAATGAAATTCTGAGATCATTTATAATAATCCAGAAGTATATTTATTTGACATAGTACTTCCAAATTTCACCTACTCTGTTGAAACATACATATATACTAGGGGTTGCACCGACTAATCGACTAGTCGATTCAATTCTCTGCCATGACGCTTTAAGCTTGATGTCGACTAGTCGCTGGTCCTACAGAGGGCGCAACAGGATAAGAAATCTTTGAAGGACTTCCACATTTACGCTCTGTTTCCAAACAGTTCAAATGACAAATAAATGCATACTCTGAAAGCGCTCCACAAGACATGTGTGATTATATTACTGGATGCTCGAAATTGAACGGGAGAATGCACGTTTTAAACAGCTTATTGTACAGGTAAGTTAATCGCCGTTCTAATCTAATGCGCTGCTGCACTGTAACTCACACACATTACAGACAGTAGCTCGTACATCACGCGCAGATCATTCAGCGCGAAAATGTATAGTCAACACTGTTCTGTGATTTCTCAAAAAAATAGCTTAGAAACTGAAAAGTTCAAACATATATTTCTTAATAACTAAATCCCACAGCTTCACTACTAGTAGAGAAACGCTGCTACTTCATTAGCATTACATCATCTCTACCAGTAGAAAAACTGCAATGAGAGGAGAAAGAGTACAAACAAGATTTTCCAAATCATCTCTATTCATAGACTAGCAAATAATAAGACACTGCAAGCATGTCATACATACATTTACACATTTTATTTAACCAAACACTGAATTTAGTAGAGATTTCATTAAAAAATGTTTCAGAAAGTGTCAGCTAAAATTATTGTCCATTAGCTAAAGATATTGTGCCGGAACAGGTGAGTAAGTTGGGGCCAGATAAGGTTTGTTAGGAACATAAGCTCCAGTATATACAGCACTCGGTGCATATGTTTTGGCAGGCATATAAGATCCAGGAGGCCCATACATAGGTCCTTGGTAGGGGTACATGCCTGGGTATTTTGGATACATTTCTTCTCTCGGTGGGCAGGAAGTACACAGAATGATCCCTCCAAACAGAAGGCCCCAGCCAATGTATATGGATGCCCCAAGCTCCCTCTTTTGGGTCTCGATTGTGAGAACGCTCTGGAAATCTGAGATGGTGCATGCTGAGGACCAGCAGACGGGAATGAGACAGACGACTCAAGCTACAATGCACAGGATGCCTCCCAGGATCAGCACTTTGGCCATTGAGGACTCTTTCTTCAGACAGCTGCTGCACTGGCCTCCCACAAACGTCAAGAGCATCCCAATGAAGCCGATCACCATTGCGATGACGGTCAGCGCACGTGCCGCTTGCAAGTCCTGGGTCAGTCGCATGATTGAGTCTTGGACTTTACACTGCATCTGTCCTGTGCTCTGCACCACACAGTTCATCCACAAGCCGTCCCAGACGATCTGGCCCGTGACGATGTTGGCACCGATGTACGAAGTGACGCGCCACATGGGAATGCCACAGCAGACACATATGCCAACAAAACCAATGAAGCACAGGATCTGGCCGGAAACCTCTTTAGCAATCCTCCCCATGTTGAAGCTGCTGGTGTTGTCAAACTCAAACGCAGCTTTGGTCTGGTCTTAACCCATAGGTGTCTGAGAAACAAGCAGGAAGTGATGGCCTGTTTGATTTAGACACAGGCACTGGGAGGAGTTTTGCATATCTGTTTGGTTAATCCTGCTGAACAAGAATCCAAAGAAAGATTCTTCAGATATGCTGCTTGCTCAGTGCTTTCCATGAAGACACATTCAGATATGGTTTTGGCTGCATGAAACTGCTGTCTTGTCTTTCTTAACTGTGTCAAAGATAATGTCATTGACTTCATCCTTGTGAACAAAGATTTGAACATTCTCTCAGATGAGTGGAAACGGGTTTTAATACGATTATAAGGTCAAACAGATGTGCTTTTTGTGTATGTGTGGTTTCAGTTGTTCCTATATTTTCGTAAATTTAGAATACATTTTATTACGAATGTTTTGCTGAATCGTGTTTTGTTCCTAAAATCATTCGTACGCACATTCCAAGCACACATTTGTGAGTATGCATGCTTAGTGAATGATCCCCAGTGTTCTTTGCTCCCTACTCCCTGAGATTGTGAAATCCGTCGAAGTTTACTTATCTTCGGAACATTCATTCGCGGATTTGTGCTACGCCACGGCCTGCAGCGTCTTCACACACAGACGAAACCTACAAGAGAAGTGTGAAGTGTGACATATACCTCTGTAAATAAATACGTTTTAAATTCACATCTCGCACACTTTAATGCCCTTTGAATGGAACATATAAGCTCACTCTGAACTGGAATCATGGTGGAATATCCTTCTCAGTGCACTTACGGTTGTACAGAACAGATGTCTGAAGTGATAAGAGGAACATACAAAACGTGCAGAGCGGTGGTACGAGAGGACTGGAATTGAGAATGTATATTAAAGAGGCTAATGCTCTATAGGGCATTTGACTTTCTTCGCATGCTCGCTTTGTAAACACTGGGTCAGTACTTCTGCCTACGTCACGCGTGACCTTTCCAACATGATAATGTAATGCTTGAGGTCGGGCTGGTGCAAGACGAGCATTTGTGGTTAAAGAGTATATCAATTCGTATTGTTTTAAGAAAATGACCGACCGTTTCGCTAGATAATTTTTTATTCTGAAAGTGAACTTATCCTTTAATACGATTATAAGGCCATACAGATGTGCTTTTTGTGTATGTGTGGTTTCAGTTGTTCCTATATTTTCGTAAATTTAGAATACATTTTATTACGAATGTTTTGCTGAATCGTGTTTTGTTCCTAAAATCATTCGTACGCACATTCCAAGCACACATTTGTGAGTATGCATGCTTAGTGAATGATCCCCAGTGTTCTTTGCTCCCTACTCCCTGAGATTGTGAAATCCGTCGAAGTTTACTTATCTTCGGAACATTCATTCGCGGATTTGTGCTACGCCACGGCCTGCAGCGTCTTCACACACAGACGAAACCTACAAGAGAAGTGTGAAGTGTGACATATACTGTACCTCTGTAAATAAATACGTTTTAAATTCACATCTCGCACACTTGAATGCCCTTCGAATGGAACGTATAAGCTCCCTTTGAACTGGAATCATGGTGGAATATCCTTCTCAGGGCACTTACGGTTGTATAGAACAGATGTCTGAAGTGATAAGAGGAACATACAAAACGTGCAGAGCGGTGGTACGAGAGGACTGGAATTGAGAATGTATATTAAAGAGGCTAATGCTCTATATAGTTGCACTGAGCCAAGAGAGAAATATTCTGATGTTTTGATTATTAGGGATCAGATTTTTGCCATAACATTTAAACCACATGTCTTATTTATTTATTAGAAATAATATTGGATTAATATGCTATACCTTACAGTTGTAACGCTGTTGGTGGTTGCAGTGAAGCGCATGACAAAGGAGTACAAATTAAACAGTGTTTATTTAAATCCACTAGGAAACACTGGAGATCAATGGAAATATAACACAACCACTTAAATGCAAGGTCAAACATAACCAATACCAGACAAGGAACAGGAGCTTAAATACTACAGCAGTGCAACAAGGAAAAGCAGAACAGATGTGGGTAACTAATTAACAACCAAAGAAACTAACTAGAACACTCAGGTAGGCAAACAGGTACAGAAAACTAAACCAGAACTTGGGATACTTTATTATTGTTTTGTTGATGGCACAAAAATACATAATACACATGACAAATAATAAAAAGGTAATTTTGTACACAATTTAAAATAAATACACAATCAATATTTAGAATCCCACCATAAAAGCTGTAATAAATACATGACTCTTTTATACAAAGCGACTTGCATTGCACTGAAGGAATACATCAGTTCAAGCATCCCTAGAGAATCAAACCCATGATGTTTTTTAACTCTACAATCTCTATTTAGAAGATATGTATTCATAATCTTTGTGTTTTTGTGAAGAGGAAGAATGAAAATATTATGCTATTACATGTAAAAAAAAAAATGTCTCTCCAGTAATTCTACGGATGAATTGCTGACATACAGTGATGAATTAGATCAATCAGTCACTTGAGTGTGCATTTTAAGGCCGGTCGTATGTGTTCTGAGTCTCAGACAAACTCTCTCGGAGCAGAATTTATTAGAAATAATATTGGATTAATATGCTATACCTTACAGTTGTAACGCTGTTGGTGGTTGCAGTGAAGCGCATGACAAAGGAGTACAAATTAAACAGTGTTTATTTAAATCCACTAGGAAACACTGGAGATCAATGGAAATATAACACAACCACTTAAATGCAAGGTCAAACATAACCAATACCAGACAAGGAACAGGAGCTTAAATACTACAGGAGTGCAACAAAAGCAGAACAGATGTGGGTAACTAATTAACAACCAAGGAAACTAACTAGAACACTCAGGTAGGCAAACAGGTACAGAAAACTAAACCAGAACTTGGAATACTTTATTATTGTTTTGTTGATGGCACAAAAATACATAATACACATGACAAATAATAAAAAGGTAATTTTGTACACAATTTAAAATAAATACACAATCAATATTTAGAATCCCACCATAAAAGCTGTAATAAATACATGACTCTTTTATACAAAGCGACTTGCATTGCACTGAAGGAATACATCAGTTCAAGCATCCCTAGAGAATCAAACCCATGATGTTTTTTAACTCTACAATCTCTATTTAGAAGATATGTATTCATAATCTTTGTGTTTTTGTGAAGAGGAAGAATGAAAATATTATGCTATTACATGTAAAAAAAAAAATGTCTCTCCAGTAATTCTACGGATGAATTGCTGACATACAGTTTGTGAGTATGCATGCTTAGTGAATGATCCCCAGTGTTCTTTGCTCCCTACTCCCTGAGATTGTGAAATCCGTCGAAGTTTACTTATCTTCGGAACATTCATTCGCGGATTTGTGCTACGCCACGGCCTGCAGCGTCTTCACACACAGACGAAACCTACAAGAGAAGTGTGAAGTGTGACATATACCTCTGTAAATAAATACGTTTTAAATTCACATCTCGCACACTTTAATGCCCTTTGAATGGAACATATAAGCTCACTCTGAACTGGAATCATGGTGGAATATCCTTCTCAGTGCACTTACGGTTGTACAATTTGTGAGTATGCATGCTTAGTGAATGATCCCCAGTGTTCTTTGCTCCCTACTCCCTGAGATTGTGAAATCCGTCGAAGTTTACTTCACTTCGGAATATTAATTCGCGGATTTGTGCTACGCCGCGGCCTGCAGCGTCTTCACACAAAGACGAAACCTACAAGAGAAGTGTGAAGTGTGACATATACTGTACCTCTGTAAATAAATACGTTTTAAATTCACATCTCGCACACTTGAATGCCCTTCGAATGGAACGTATAAGCTCCCTTTGAACTGGAATCATGGTGGAATATCCTTCTCAGGGCACTTACGGTTGTATAGAACAGATGTCTGAAGTGATAAGAGGAACATACAAAACGTGCAGAGCGGTGGTACGTGAGGACTGGAATTGAGAATGTATATTAAAGAGGCTAATGCTCTATATAGTTGCACTGAGCCAAGAGAGAAATATTCTGATGTTTTGATTATTAGGGATCAGATTTTTGCCATAACATTTAAACCACATGTCTTATTTATTTATTAGAAATAATATTGGATTAATATGCTATACCTTACAGTTGTAACGCTGTTGGTGGTTGCAGTGAAGCGCATGACAAAGGAGTACAAATTAAACAGTGTTTATTTAAATCCACTAGGAAACACTGGAGATCAATGGAAATATAACACAACCACTTAAATGCAAGGTCAAACATAACCAATACCAGACAAGGAACAGGAGCTTAAATACTACAGCAGTGCAACAAGGAAAAGCAGAACAGATGTGGGTAACTAATTAACAACCAAAGAAACTAACTAGAACACTCAGGTAGGCAAACAGGTACAGAAAACTAAACCAGAACTTGGGATACTTTATTATTGTTTTGTTGATGGCACAAAAATACATAATACACATGACAAATAATAAAAAGGTAATTTTGTACACAATTTAAAATAAATACACAATCAATATTTAGAATCCCACCATAAAAGCTGTAATAAATACATGACTCTTTTATACAAAGCGACTTGCATTGCACTGAAGGAATACATCAGGAGTGCAACAAAAGCAGAACAGATGTGGGTAACTAATTAACAACCAAGGAAACTAACTAGAACACTCAGGTAGGCAAACAGGTACAGAAAACTAAACCAGAACTTGGAATACTTTATTATTGTTTTGTTGATGGCACAAAAATACATAATACACATGACAAATAATAAAAAGGTAATTTTGTACACAATTTAAAATAAATACACAATCAATATTTAGAATCCCACCATAAAAGCTGTAATAAATACATGACTCTTTTATACAAAGCGACTTGCATTGCACTGAAGGAATACATCAGTTCAAGCATCCCTAGAGAATCAAACCCATGATGTTTTTTAACTCTACAATCTCTATTTAGAAGATATGTATTCATAATCTTTGTGTTTTTGTGAAGAGGAAGAATGAAAATATTATGCTATTACATGTAAAAAAAAAAATGTCTCTCCAGTAATTCTACGGATGAATTGCTGACATACAGTGATGAATTAGATCAATCAGTCACTTGAGTGTGCATTTTAAGGCCGGTCGTATGTGTTCTGAGTCTCAGACAAACTCTCTCGGAGCAGAATTGGACCTCACAGCGGAGAACTTGGGGTTGTAGATGCGTTCTTGCTTCGGTGGGCAGTTCCAGCAAAGTATTCCTCCTCCCAGTAAAAGCAAGCCAGCCGATCCCCAGCCGACATACATAGCTGCGCCCAACTCCCTCCGCTGGGCCTCCACCATCATCGGGTTGTAGAAGTTCTGTATGGTCGTGTGTGCCGCCCACGACACTGGGATCAGACAGAGAAGTCCAGAGATAATTAGGAGAATGCCTGCAACGATGCACGCCTTTGCTTTGGAGCCTTGGTCCTCGATGCAGTTGGTGCACTTCCCACCAGCCAGAGAAATTACGATTCCACAGAGTCCAGTCAAAATGGAGACGATGATCATGGCCCGGCCCGCTTGGAGATCGGAGCTGAGCGCCAGCATGGAGTCGTAGACTTTACACTGCATTTGTCCAGTGCTCTGCACCACGCAGTTCATCCACATGCCCTCCCAGATGACCTGTGCTGTTACGATATTGGCCCCGATGAACGCAGACACCTTCCACTGGGGTAAAGCACACACGATAATGACCCCCAGCCAACCCAGCATGGCTGTGGATATGCCCATAATCTGGAGTCCTTGGGAGGCCATTTTTAAACCACAGACTTTACAGTGATAAAGTAGCCAAAAGTGTGCAAACCAGAGACTTTTGCTATTTATAGGAAAGACTGGAGAAGGTGGAGTTTGGTTCTCATGAGCTGATGATTTCTACGCAGAGCCCCTATGATTGCTCATTTACATTATAAACACAAAACTAATGGCTTTCAGAAGCACAGCAACACTTCAAGGTCCTTCAAGGTCAGTTAACAAATAGCTTTTCAAAATGACCTTGCACTGACATAAAAGGCGCTGTGAAAAGATATGGTCTTTATATGGATGATTATGGTTGGAAATATTTTATGTATGCTGTCTTCACATTTTTATGATAATAAGTGCAGAAAAACATTACAACATTTTCTCATTTGAAACCACACAAAAGGATCATTAAAATCTTTTTACGGATCAGTTGTGATCTGTAATAACTGGAGGGAGATTTCTGTTAGTGTGCTCATTCATCTCATTGGCAGTTGCTCACATTCTTCACCCAGAAGTATGTGACCTCGAGGCAACCATCTTTACATCATGGGCGCACAATTGCAAGAACATTTGTTACAGTAGATAAATGAAAAAATGTCAATATCATGGGCCCTTCCAAAATAGTCTGTCACAGATAAAATATTGATAATAATATAATGAATTGTTAAAATTATGAATTTATTTGTTGCATTTATTGGATTTTTTAATAGCACACAGTAAACTGTACATCAACAGGGAAACATAATGGTGAATCATAATTATTCATCAACACATCTAAATAACTTTACTGCAGTTACCTCTCAAGGTGGATTTGTGTGTGTGTGTGTGTGTAGACACAGATTAATGGCTACAAAACTCAACTGGACATTTTCATAGTTTATTCACAGGTACAAACATGTGTTGAAACTCTTCGAGCTTCAGTGTAGTAAAAACCTACACTTCTAAAATGTGAAGGGTAAAGAAAATAGGAAAATTTACGTTTGGGGGGCCAGAATGCTGCCATCTGGTGATAAAAATAAAATAACATGACTTCATGTTCAAGTAAAAATCATGTAATGGCAATAATGGCCAGTAGACGGCTGAATAAACTATGCGTCCACCCACAGCACATGAATGAAAGATTTGGTACTAAGAACATTTAGATATTTATGTAGACATTATTCAACTATTATTTGTCAAAGTTTGAAATAAATAAATAAATATTATATATATATTTTTTTTATAACTTTGAAGTATATTTTTTCAAGAATGCTTACAGTCATACACTATTCATTTCACGCTTACTACTCTAAGTGTGGCTGTGTGTGAATCTTTTGCACTCATCATGTAGTTAGTACTACCCATGAGTTGTGACACCTCCCAGTTGATCAGATAATTATCAGGAACCCAACTGTCTTTCTAAACAAAGTGAGTACAAACTTAACTGTGTTTGCTAGGTCCTGACTTTTATCACATATCCATTTTTATCTGTGTGTAATGAAGCACAAGGACGAATAATAAGTGTTTGTAAAGAATTTATTTATTGAAATGCATGTATTGAAATGTTTTGTAGCATAGCACAAATATCTGTCACAAAGCACAACAAGGTTAAATTTACATTTTGTATAAATCCTTAACACTTTAAGCATATCAGAAGAGGGAATCCACAGAGCGTGAACCCAGAAAGCAGTACTGTTCTGTTCAGCGCTGTGACCTGAAACTTTCTTTGTATTTCACCATTACTATCAAATGTTGGCAGCTGACAGCTAATTCAACCAGTGAAAACCCATTCACATGCATGGTCAACACAACAAGTCAAAAATGACCAAAGTATGCAAATTAAAGTCACTATTCGCAGTCCTCTTCGGTTCCTCTTCATACATAGCCTTGGTTTCCTCCAGGCCGAGCTGTGTACTTAGCAGTGTACTGATCTTTAGGAGGGCAGTTTGCACAAAGCAAAGACCCGCCGATAATCAACAGTGCCGAAGCAGCCCACCCAATAAACAACGAAGCTCCCAACTCTTTCTTCTGTGCGCTGATGGTCATAGGGTTGTAGAAGTCCCTTATAATTGTATTGGCCGTCCAGCAGACGGGAATCAAACACAGAACTCCAGCCACGATGAAGATGGCTCCCGAGATGATGCCGACTTTGGCCTTGACGCGCTCATCCTCGATGCAGTTGGTGCATTTCCCTCCAGCAGCCGCTAGCAGGATGCCAACAACACCCACCAGGATGGAGATGATAGTCAGGGCTCGAGCCGCCTGCAGATCTGAGCTGAGGGCCAGCATGGAGTCATACACCTTACACTGCATCTGTCCTGTGCTCTGCACCACACAGCTCATCCAGATTCCCTCCCAGGTTATTTGCGCAGTGACTATATTCTGTCCAATGAAAGCTGTGACATGCCACATTGGGAGAGCGCAAACCACGATCACCCCGATCCAGCCGATGATAGCCAGGGCTATGCCCAGCATCTGCAACCCTGCTGATACCATGCTAGCACGCTGCTTTGCTTGTGTGTAAAAGAACAGTCTCCGGTCTCTAGAGCTGCTTCGGTGAACATGGGAGTAAAGCGGGCCCTTTTAAGTGAAGTGAAACAAGGAGGGGCCGCACGAATCACTCTCAGGTGCACCGTCACCATGATTTGCCCCCTGGCTGTGGTGTCATTAATCAAGCAAATCCTGGTGACGAGCCTCAGCTCTAATTGCATTAGGGTGGATTTGTTTTTGCTGAACGGGACATTTTATGAATCACAATTTTTATAGATATTCATAGTTTTTGTGGAAAATAACATTAGTGTGACTCATGGTTCAACGTTAAAAAAAATCCCTAAGAAAAACAGAGCATAGGAGTAATCCATAAATAAACTAGAAGCAAAGCAGGCACAAATATAATACCGAAAATGGGTGTCTCTAGGCGCGTGAAGGGTTTTGAAAGATGAAGTTACATAACTGCAGTATGTTAAAATAAAATAAATAAAAATGATAGGATTTTAAAATAGGGATTTTCCCTCTAATAATACACACTGAATATTGATTCACTGTCTTTTCTCTTAATTGCAGATACAACTTTAGCTTAGAAGGAGGATTTTACATAACGCACATCATCTCTACTTAGAGATAATTATGTGACAACTGTACCGTTTTAATTATGGGTTTTAGTAAATAAGTCATATCACATGCCACCCTCTCGCTAACACTTGTGTTACACATACATTTTACTCTCACAAAAAGACTTCGACAGTTGCTTGAATAAGACTGGAAACTTCCTTTCTTTTCATATTTCATGTTTTTTCTAATCAGAAGCACTTCTAAAGAGACAAACGAGAGAAAAAAAAAACATGCAGTTGCTGACCTGGTTTCCAGTGTCCAGAGAAAGAGAGAGGTGCAATCTTTCCTAAAGCCACTGCAGCACTATATAGTTAAAAGAAGTAAAAAAGTGTTCACTGTCCAAGGGTTTGCAGACATTTAGAGGCACATGGTGGAGGGATGAAAGTCAATCCCAGGTGTTTGCTGCGTAGAAAATAGAAAAAAAGAGGGAGAGAGTAAGGGATACGGATTGTTTCATAAATGAAAGAAGGCTCTGTTTGGTGGGCAGAAGTACAATAATGGCTCTGTTTTACATGGCAGCGCATTAAAATCCCCTTGGCCAGGAGAAAGAGGATACGGTTCCTCACACACGTACACAGGTAAGGAATGTCTGCAATTAAGGATCCGAGGAAAGATGGTTTGCCAAAGATTACCTTCTCAGAGGGTCGTTTTGAATTCTTTAAAAGCATATCTGAGGCTCTAATACAATCCAACTTTTCAATGCAAACATGTGATGGGATTAATTCAATTTAAATACAAAGACGACTACTTTCAAGTAAAAATAATTTTTTAAAATAGTTAATTGGACATTAAAAGATTATGCACAGTAGTCATAATCACATGACTATAATGTAGGTAATATAGTGAATCATTCTTTGTAGATTGTTCAAACATCCAAGCGCACCCTTAGTTAATTTAATTGGATTTGTACTAACATATGTATCTGAACACATGAGTTAGAAGTTTCTACATGCTTAAGGCTTTCAAACTCAGTAAAAAACCCATCTAAACATTTAGTTACGTGGAGAACTGGCTCGTCAAGTTCTTAGGAAAATGAGTGCATGGGAAATATTACACATATGAAAAGATGTGAACTTTTACACAAACATGAGCAGCTCATACACTATGAGTTTTATAATATCACCAGAAGAGCAGTTTCAAAAAATGCCCACCTTTGACTCTTCGGTCAGAATGTAAATAAAATAAAATGAAAACAATAATGTCTTGAGATAAGAAACAAATACACAAATGCATTATTTCTTCTAAAAATATATACTTCTACTTCCAGCAGTGAGTCATTTGTCCCACACTCTGTTGACTCTGGTGTGATTACTAATGAAACTGTTAATAGTGCTGACGGGGGAGAGGCAGCATGTGTGACGTCAGAGAGTTTCACCCCTGGGCTGTTGGGATGGTAGACAGAGTTTCTGTGGATGATCAACACTGTGATCTCAAAGAATGAAAAGACTGATGACTCAACTGTGCTTTCTAATGATCAAGCACGACCGCACAACACTGAGAGCACCTGATGCTTGACCCGGTCAGCTAATTACAGACTGCTGAGTTTCTAAACAAGCAACATATTAGAAGAGAAGAAGAACAGTGGACTACACATCCCAAAACAAAAGCTTCGATTTTTCTTAGATAAGAAGACTTTAGGAAGTGAATCTTCTCCACTTTCTGAAGGTATATCTAAAATATAAATCTAACGAACAGAAAAACAGAAATGTTTAAATTCAAATAAAGTACAAAAACTAATAATCAATGGACAAGTTTGATATAGTGCAAATGGGGGTCAAAGAAGAGTCAATAAATTAATCATTTAAAATGGAATTAAATGTATTTTTTTTCTTTCTGTAAAGCATTTTCCCATAACAGAGTTGAACTAGCCTACTTTGAGACAAGTTTAGCTCTTTTTTATATGTATACTAAACAGACTTTTTAAA